GTACAAAATTGAACTATGAAAATATCCGAGGTATCCACGTCCGACTTTTACGGTAATTATATAAAACCAAATAATTAAGTACCAATATTGATATGCAACACCAAATCATTTTGCCGATAAGGTTTATTCCCAAGTGTCCCTTATCCAATTTAGATTTAACTAAACGATCTGTCAAAGTCTCAATTCCACTGGAATGCAAAATATCCTTTAATAATATAAAAATAATTAATAACGTCAGAAATAAAATGATAGTAATGAGAATAAGTTTGATTTTTTTTTCTTACTTGCGACACAGTGCCCACTGCCTTGGCCCAAATAACACCCGTGCCATCATCCAAACGCCAATTTATATCAAACGAATCATCATTTGTCTCACAACCAATAATCAGACATCGACAAATAAATTGATATACATTTTGTTTACTAAATATAGTTGATAATGAGAGAGCATAACTGTGTAGCGACGAAACAGCCAACCACCCTTTAGCCATGCTAACTATATTCAAAAAAAGGCAAGTTTAGAATAATATTAACTTGAGCTGTACATTAAACATTAAAACAGATTACCATTGTACACCATGGCACCACTTGAAGCGTCACCGTTAATATCAAATTGTCCATTACTTTTTTTCCACGTATGTAATCCTTCCAAAACAATATATTGGCCAACATGGTATTCGGCTATTTCACGCCCAACTTTTCCCCAAAGTGTTATCTGTTGGCTTCCTAAAAATAAATGACTAATAATTAGTTGAATATTAATTAAATGAGTTTATAACTTTGATATTCTCACCAGTTTTGTCACTAAACTTTATAACATATCGATCTATTTTTTTGCCATTGTTCAAAATTAATGGGGGCTTTATAATATAATGTTCAAATTAGTAAAATTGTAATATAATAACGATAACGAATAAGGATAAAATAATATTCTTACATTATCCAAAATTTCATCAACCTTACCATAAAGAGTTATATTTAGACCTCGTGTAGGTAAAGTTTTAATGAAAAAACGATCATAATGGAATTTATAATCGATCATATACTAAAAAGGAAATATCTAATTAAAGTATGTAATTTATTATCGGCGTTCGACCAAGAAAGTACTAACCGAATTATCTTTGTAATTAAGTTTATGCTTTGTGAAATGTTTGGATCTCGAATTTCCCTCCTTTTAAGTATGCAAATTAAACGTGATTTTTTTTTTATATGGAATTTCTTTTAAATTTCATTAATCATTATTACATACCTTACAAAGTTCACTCATTGGTAGACAAAACAAAACCGTTAAATCACCATAATGAAGAATTAATCCATCATGGTTTTTGTCTTCAGTACCAATATACGGCCAATGTATTCCCAAAAAATCTCCCTATTAAAATAATTATCAGTATGATGAAAATTTTTTTTTTTTTAAAAAAAAAAGTGACCCCTACCGTTTTGAATAATGTAGTCATGCGTATTTTATCGTCCAATAAAACTAAGGTTGCACATTGTGAACTCGACATGTCACGCACGTAAACACATACTTTATTACAAAAACCGGGCAATTCTGCAGGCTCTTTAGTTCCAACATACATCACCTTTTGTTTTAATTATAAATGGTTATTTAGTTATCGATGCTGACACATTAACATTCTATTATAATATTGTATATAATTTTACAACATATTATACAAACCCTTGTCCAAAACTGATATCCCCTTCCATTCTTAATATCAGTTGATGAAACATTGGCAATTGAATCAGTAAATAATGTATCAATTAAAGTTTCTTCGAAGGGGGTTAACATTATTACAATATTTGAAGTATGTAAAAAAGTTAAATTGGATGCTGTTTTTGACAAAGACGCGCGATTAAATCGGATATGGCGACATTTCTAATAGCACAAATTTAATTTAATATTTTAATAATATAAGATTGTAATAATAATAATAAAAATGAACTGCATTCCTACTTTGTCAAATAACTTTGGATAATATCCTTCATTTATAAATCGACAAAATCTGGGAGGAACAAACATTTCAGCTGTTGATCTATTATCTAAATATTCGGATAAAATAAATTTATGTATATAATGTATAGGTAAAATATTAGGTATATTTTAAATAATATTGTGAAACCGTGATAAATTATTCGCATGAATAGGATATGAATTGATTTTTCTAAATTGACATGTTGAATATTTCTGACAATTAATTCATAATCCCGAATCTTTGTGTTAAGTCGAGGAGACACGGTACCAAGGGGAGAAAAACCTGAACATTTACATTTTATGTATAATTCTTTTAAATAAATAATGTATTTTTTTTTGCATTAAACAAATAGAATCCTCAATTAACTTACTTTTAGGTACACCCTTTCGGTAGGATACACTCGCTTCTTGCCACTTAGGAAAAAAAAAAAATTAGAGCTGGAATTCGAATTAATTAAAATTAAAATTTAATGGATTAAAAAAAAAAAAAAACCTCAGAGAGCAACTGATTTAGGATAACGGGTTCGGTTAGCCCATGTGGTGTATGTATAAGCATCTCTGCAACTCTAGCACATACCCAACCCCTTTTTTATTAAAGCAAATCTTATTAGATTATATAAATTACAAATGCGAAAAATAAGTAATAACTAACCAAGATAAAGGTTCTGCTTCAGGATCTATGGTTTGAAGGTACAAATCTTCATTTTCCCTATATTCTTCATTTTCTTTATTATCTTCGCTTCTTTTAACGCGTTTTCTTTGACAGATTGTAAAAATATGTGAACTGAGAGTATCACGATAACGTTGAACCAAATTCTCAAATTCCATGAGGTTAAAGTTGACAATTACGATTATTACGGTATTGAATTGGAACTTTATATTTTAAAGATGGCATCGTCCAATCACAATTTTATGAACACGATACGCGTTTACGTACGTACGTACGACGTACAAAGTTTACGCGATTCATCAATTAATGATCCTTATTTAGTAAGATCTACTTAAAATTACTCGCCGTTATGATGTACTGTAACAGTGAATACAGTAATACAGTAATATACATTTAACATACGGTATCTAATTTATTAATTATTACTCGTTAATAATGAAATAAAATTTTTTGAAGTATTTATTGAAATAACATTATATAAAGGAAGTTACCGATAATATAATAATAAAGTAGAAGTGCTATTACACTTTACGTATATAATATGAAGGGATCTACTATCCCACTAGTTACAAGGCTTAGAAGTAATAGGAAAAATCAAAAATTATAACAACTACACTTATAAATATATAATTAATAAAAAGAAAAAAAAAATCTAAACTACCAGCGTTAATATAAAACTAACTCTTTTATAAATGAACATTGGAGAGTGTGGATAAAGCAATATAATATTTTTTTTTTCATTTTGTTTAACGAGATAAAAAAAAAACAACCAACCGATAGTTTGTAATAATAATCACAAGCCCACACTTAATAAATATCCAAATAAGGAAAAAGGTGAAAACATAAATCAGAAATAATCAATTCTATTAGAACAAGAGATGCTTAATTAAGTTTCTGGATTTTCATTTATTTGTTATTAAACGAGAATCCTTTTTTCTTTGCCTTTTCGGGGGTAATTGGTCTACCCGACTCCAATCGTCTCTTTTTTTCTTCTAATTCTAGACGTTGTTTCTCCAGGGCATCCTTCATCTCCTTATGACGGGCATATAGTTCTTCTTCGGATTGTTTCAATTTAGCCTCTTTCTCCTGGACTTTTTGTTGGAATACCATTTTCATTTCTGCTTCCATCTTTTGTAGCTTAGCCTCATGAAGTTGTCGTTCTTCTTCCATCTTGGCGAGTGGATTTACTTCCTTGAAAACGGTTTGATCTTGTTGCACACCCATAGTAACAAGTTTTTCGGATCGATAATTTTCATAGAGTACGTCATTAGTATATTCTTTAAGTTCTTCCATATGAGTTCTAAAAAAAAATAATAATAAAATAAATAAATAAAAATTCAACTTAAATTACTGGTAAATTATAGTAATATAAAACTAACCGAATGAGCATTTGTCGAAGTTTTACAAAGTCATTATGCTCTTCATTATCGACTTCAATGACACCCCATGGGTATTTACGTCCACGCACGCGACGGCCATCGGAAAGTTCGACTTCTTTGTCACTACCGACAATAGCAAATGGAATCTTGCTCTATTATAATTCAATATAGAAAGAATAATAATGTAACAAATTCATGCATTATAATAAAAAAAAATTTTAAATTGAATTATATATAATTATATCGAATTATATCTAATTATATATAATCACATTGAATTATATAAATTATATTAAACGTACTATTATTTCACGGTTTTCGGCTACAGTTTCATGATCATCATATTCATATTGTGGTGCTTGATAAATTTGAATCTTATGATAAGCAATATCGTCTAGAATACGTTGTTTAAATTGTTTAATTTCATCTTCAGTCAACGTATCAGACTTTGCAATAACTGGAATAAGATTGACTTTGGTATGCAGCCGTCGCATGAATTCGACATCCAAAGGTTTGAGCCTATAGAAAAAATATTATAGATAAAGAATATAAAGAAAAAGAAATTCATTTATCCTATTTATTCTAATAATATTATGGTTGATACTTACGAATGACCGGTAGGTGCAATGAAGTAAATACAAGCATGAACGCGATTATCAACCATCTTACGACGATTTACACGGTTTTCTTGTTCAAGATATGCATCGAAACGAGCCTCAATATTTTCAAGAATTGGTTTCCAACTAATAATAATAAGTACAAATATTATGAGAATTGAATAGTAGTTTATACAAACGTTATAATATTACATTTACCTTTCCTCATTGTTAACAAAATCACCAAATCCAGGAGTATCAACGACTGTGAGTCTTAATTTAACACCATTTTCTTCAATGTCTATAAAATAAAATTATTATCGTAAGCAAAAAAAAAAAATCTAATTATCTTAATATAATGAAATTTAAACATAAAAAAGTCACCTGCACTCAGAGATTGGATTTCTACAGTCTTTGGTGTTTCATCTGATGGTTCCGTTTCACCTTTATTAGGGTAGAGCGTAGTGCCGAACAAAGTATTGACGAGGGTTGATTTTCCTAGACCGGATTCACCTAAGGAAAAGCGTTTACTAATATCAGATAAAAATTTGATATGATGAAAAAAGATATTTACTATAATGACTAACCAACTATCATCACCGTGAAATGGAATCCTTTTTTCACGGATTTTCTATGAACTTGGTTTGGAAGATTGGCAAATCCTACATATCCTTGAAGTTTTTTTCTGATAACGGCACTAATGGCCGTCTAAACAATGGAAGGTCAAATAAAGTCACGTTAAAATTATCGAAAATTATCGAAAGAACTTTTAATCAAAATTTCTTCAATGCGGCTACTACAGCACACAAATATGATGAAATCAACACATACTTTTAGACCTGTGTTCGGGGCACTAGCGGAATTATCTGTTCGTAATGATAACATAAACAAGTTGCAAAATTAATTAAACTTGAATAAAACGCAATAACTTGAAACTAGGTATTAAAATATTGTAAGAAGCCAAAAGAGAAGCGACAGATAACTAAATCTAACATATTTTTTCTAAATTATCAAAGTTTTGAAACGTTCCAAGTTCATAAATAGGAAAATAGACAAAAATTGTTTTTTTAAACAGAGATGAACACAGATGACAGACTAAACTTTTTAAAGAAGGTTTACATAATAGTTTGATAAAGTCATAACAAGAACACGAAATAAAAAAGGTTCTTTTTCAAGGGTTTACATATTAAAGGTTTAGATTCTAAATTTTATTTGCATCGAAGAGACAAAAATTACGTACCAGACATTATTTGTGAAGACTATGTTAATGGGTGGTTAGGAATTAATACGGAAAGGAGAATAAGGAAGCGTGGAAATATTAGATTAACTTTATTCTTAATCTATTGAAGGAGTGTATGGAGTTGGCGAAAAGACACACAACAACAATGGAAACAGGACAGGTAGTTTTTCTGCAAAGGGGCTAAAAAGGTTTGAAATTTTTTTTTGAGGGTGAGTTTGGAGGCAAGAATTTGGTTAAACATGGTTTGGGTTGGCCAGAATATCGAAGTTACAGATTGCACAAACAGGCCACAAAAAGCAAACATGTGTTCCAATATCATATTAATAACACCTTTGGGAATTAAAAGAAACCAATCAATTTAACCAGTTTATTTAGTGTTTGCTTAGTTTCCTAGTGATCAAACTGTATGGGTTACAGGCTGTCGTCGAAAAAATTGTAATAGTATAATGCATACAGTAATGTTTGCGTACGACACACTTATTATAAACTTTAATATAAAAATATTTTACGTACTTATGTCTTAACTGCTTTATCGTAGGTCGCACCAATAGTCTTTTTCCATGGACCTGCAGTGCATCCCCTTGAATATATTAAAAAGTTGTAATACTATTTCAACATATTTTTTGTATATATTATTATATGAATTCAATCATGGATTAATAAGTATTTTAATATAAAAAATTTCATCTCGTCTTATTAACAAATTTTAATATAAAAGGTTTAATTCATGTATATTATTATAAAATAATTTTATATTTTTCTTCTCTTGGTACTCTATTGATAACTGCCCTTCCGTCATAAGACAATGAGCAAAATACCCATGGATCACAAGCACTCCAAGCAACTGCATAAACGCTGTCTTCATGTTGATCGTAGGCTCTTACTAGACCATCAGTTGGTTTTCTATTATTGATGATTGCATGATCATTGGTTAAAATGTTATTATATAAGTTAATATACTAATAAATACAATAAAAACTATAGGGATTATATACCCTAATCTATCTTGATATTCATATTCTGATTCATCATCATTTTCGCGTTCATCATATTGAAACGCGCCAGAAGAGATGGAGACAATACTGTGAAGGTTTACTTGACAATCAGAGCTTGAACTTAAAAAAAGCTGATCATGAAACCGATTATAAGCTATAGCCCACACCCTGATAAAAAAAAAAAAAGTAGGTTATACCATTTTTGAAACATGAAATATGACATATAAATATAATTAATATTCAACCATTACCAATGCGTATGGTCAGAAATTTGTTTAATACACTGGGTAGTATTTCTAAGATCCCAGAATCTGATCTTACAATCATCACCAGCTGATGCAATTTGATATGGCTTATTCGGGTTGTAATCTAACGCACGAACAAGTATAGAGTGTGCTCCGTTGATGTCAAACGTTTGACTTTAAAAAACAAATGCAACGCAATGAAGGTGATTATTGGGACTTGTTATTGAGCTCGGGTTACCTATGCGACGAACCACATTTTTACCCACCTTTGTGATCGAAGGTCCAAACCTTGCACAGAACATTCCTTCCCTATAGCAACTTCGGGCTGATTTGGATTCCATACCCCAGTTGTTAATGGAGGTAGAGACTCATTTGTTGAAGAGAAATCAATTGTATGAGAGGTCTATGTGTGTATAATCGTACATGTTGAAATCAAATGATGATTAAATAATTCTTTAAAAAAAAATAATAATAATAAATAACTTCTTTAATACCTCGGCTGACGTCATCTGTTCGTCAAATGCCCAAATGCGTAATGAAGAATCATGAATAGATACGAATTTTGTCAGATCTTTCTTGGGATCCCACAAGACTCTATAAGATGCGCGATAAATTTTATAACATAATTTGGAGAGTCCCGTAAGCTGACACCATTTACTTACTTTTTAATAGTATCATCCTCTTTAATTTCAAAAATATTTTCCAATGGCAGATGCGCTGCACTTCTGGGAGGACGAGATCCTTTTTCAAAATCTTCCGAAATTGTATCTGAATTGTTCATTCGCCATAATTTAGCTCTCATATGAGACGACATCGAATCAACTTTTATGAAAACAAAGAATAAAATATCAGCCACATATCATTAATGACGACAAAATAATTCAAGACCTTTATGAACTAACATGTTTTATAACACGTAAAAAAAAGATCACTTTTTGCAGGACATGCTGCAATATCCCATACTTCTTCCAAATGCTGATAAACAGTACTGGTTATTTCGAACTCGTCTTCGTGAAAGTTAATTAGGTGAATCTAACTGTCAAAATGAAAAAAATTGGCTCTTTGCTGTACAGACTTAAAATATATAATCTCGTGAAAATAAAAGAACCTCATTATCCCGTTTAAGAGTTTGAGATCCCACTAGAAATTTATTTTGTTCTGTTTCAGCAATAACTGCTGTAAGGCACCTTGTCTATTCGTAACAGAAATGGTTCACACATTAATATATGTGTGTTTGTAAAATTATCAGATCCGAGAAGTCAAAAGAGAAAATACTTGGTGCCTCAGTCCATAAACGCAAGATCTTCCTTCATTGTCCATTATATAATAAAAAAAGAAGCCTTCTTCGTCGTCATCCGTCAGGTATATCTTAAAAAAAAAAATCAACCAATTAAAAATCATCTGCATTATCTGCATTATCTGTTTCTACTTTCGGAATATAAAAAAAAAAATCAGTTCACGAAAATTCTAGATAATATAAAAAAAAAAATGTATGTTCATAGATGTCGGTTCGTTGAATATACACCTGCAGCGATCAATGCACTGGCTTTTACGCCATTATCAACTCAGCCTCTCCTTGCATGTGGTCGAGCTAATGGTGAGATTGAAATATGGAATCCTACTCAACGTTGGAATTTAGAAAAGGTATTTTTTAAAAAAAATTAAAGTTACTTCTATGTAATTCTCACGCGTCTTTTTAGCTTATCCTAACTAACAAGCTTTTTTAATTTTCAAAGATAATTCCTGGCGCAAAAAACACGTCTGTCGAAGCTTTAACTTGGGTGCATCGGACCGTCTCAAAAGAATCCGATAGCAATCACTCTCAAACTATGGAAAAACAAGAAGAATATTTAAACAAGCCTCCTAGACTATTTTCTGCTAGCTCAAATGGATTAATCACAGAGTGGGATACAACATTATTGAAAAGCAAGGTCATTATCATTATCATTATCATTATTATTATTATTATCTCTTGTTGAATTCGCGTTTAAACCATTACATCAAAAATAATCATGGTAAAATCAAATAATAACGATAATAACAATAGAATTCCACCAATTCGCATGGAGGAGCTGTCTGGTGTATGTCAACAAATAACGCAAATACATTACTTGCTGTCGGTTGTGATGATGGAGGGCTGCGTATTTTTGGTATTAATGATGATGGGCTAGTTCTAATTAAAAGTCTTATGAGAAATGATGCCAAAGTTATGGCATTGGCTTGGAACACTGATGACAAATTTATCGTTTCTGGCTCATCTGATAGTAATATCGTTAAATGGAATGTTCATGACGGTAAGAGTGCTATGAAATAATCTTTGTATACTTTTATCTAAGCTTACGTTTTTTCACTTAACATTTGAAACAAAGCACGAGTAATTCAAAGGATGACTGTAGATACTAAAAATGGAATGGATAATATAGTTTGGGCGATAAATATCCTTAAGTGAGTAATGAATATTCATTGTATGTATTTTACTTTTATTATTTTTACTTATATATATTCTTTTTGCCTTGCATTCCTGAATCAATATAATCTCAGAGATGGCACAATTGTTAGCGGCGATTCGTTTGGCAATGTCTGTTTTTGGGATAGTGAGCATGGCACCATGTTACAAAAATTTAAAGCACATGATGCAGATGTGCTATGCTTGGTGTCAAATAAAGTAATGCATTTATTATTATTTCATTATTATTTCATGTAAAGAATTTTTTTTGTTTACGGATATAGCCTAATTGATGCGATTAATGGTTGATTCCTGTTCTTTCCTTGTTTGTTTTCATCTTCAATAGGAAGGTACTATGGTCTTTTCATCCGGAGTTGATCGTAAATGTAATTTATTTCGTATGACCGATAATTTCGCCGCTCAATCGTCTAATGATGCTGATTCCAATGAAGATAATTGGATTTTGGTGGGGTTTCGAAGAACACATTTACATGATGTGAAAGCAATTGCTTTAAGGGAGGATTTAAATGATAAATTTTTTGTTTCTGGGGGTTAATATTTAAACTTGTAATTTATTTAATATAATTGATTCGTTTTTAATATTCATCTTATTGAATTAATCTAATTAATAATTTTTATCTAGGTGTGGATACTTCAATTTTGGTTTCACATTTTGATGGATTTCCTGAGGACAAACTCCAACGTTTACCTTTTATTCCTCAAAAACCTTTGATCAGTATTTCAAAATCAAAAAAACTTTTGATGTATCGAAGTACTAATCAGATCAAGATGTGGAGATTTGGTAGTGGTATGGATATAATGAACTGAAAACATTTCAATGCTATACTATTTTGATCGATTTTATTTAAATGTTTCAAATAATGCATCAGCCAAATTGCAGGACTCTTGGCAACTTGAACAGATTCCAAACCTGGATTTAATTGAACCACAGAAAGCAATTTTGGAAATGACCTTGAAAGTAAGAAATAAATACGGCAGTATGTGAAACATAAACCAACAGCGCAAAAACTACATCCGTTTTTTTTTTTTTTTTTAATTCGCAGGGTAATAATCATCTCATGGCAAGTGCATTATCAGAAGATGGCGAATGGATTGCAGTTTCTGATGTAGAAACAATAAAAGTGTTTAAAACCCAAAATGATGTATGTTATCGTCATATTTTTTTATCAAGTTCAAATGAATATTAATGATTTTTCTAATTCGTATATTCGTATATATCTGTTTTACTAAGAGAAACGAGAATTCGAAAATTTAAGTTTATAAATGTCGGAATTAATTATAAATTTAGACTGTCAG